TTGAATTACGGAGCAAAGATATATGTATATTCAGATCGTTACATAAATTATTTTTTAAACTTCCGGTAGGATACCGAACGTAAACTTAAAATTATTTTTAAATGCAATTATTTGTTTATTTAAAAAATTTCACACTTGCTAATAAAACGCGATACTACTGATATTTTGAAGATTAAATAGAATCGAGAATCGTCGTCGTCGTTGATTGAATTATTTATTATTGATTTATATTGGCTTAGTTATTTAAAAAAATTAAACTCGATGATTTATACCTTTTCAATGATTTGTAATATATGTCAAGATTTAGAATGGAATTCATCATTTTATTTTACTTGTCATGTATTTTGATACACGTGAATTTAAACACATACTATTTTATATGTGTTGCATTTCTGGGTCTGATGCACCTGGGAAAAAGCTAACGATAAATCGTAATCTTAATTTGAAGTTGCCGATGATTTCTATGTGTTGCATTTCTCAGTTTTTAAATATTTTTCCCAGTACGCAGCATAGAAAATGATAATAATGAATTTTGTCCTAAATCCTGAATTACAGATTATTCACAATAGGCTTCATTTAAATCTGACAGTAAAACTCAAGCTTAAGAATAAAGTTTATTCTTCGTCTTGATCGAAAAATGAATTTATCGTTGAAAATTTTAGTTCTTTTTTCAAATTTTTATATTCCAAAATGAGTAGATCGTAATTTATCAATTAACAAAGGAAATTGCTGCTACGCAATTTCCGATTTTATTTCAGTTTCTCGATTTATTAAAGTCACACAATGCCATTATCTTTGAGCGAAAGTTGTAAAAATATTGATAATTGATCAGCTTGCGCAAATACTTTCTCGACCGAAATAAGATAAATCTTATTTCCCAAGTAAACGTTAATGTATGATATAAGTGGGCGCGCGTTAACTCTATTTTTCGACATACATATTTGAAAATTTCGGTTTCAATGTAACAGAGTTTTTACCGTAATATTCGGCAACGTATTGTGTTTTTGTCGCACCGAGGAATTTTGTTGACATATACCTCACTTTCGCGGCCGGTGACGTTTACGTTCTTTGCGCCGCTCGACTCGTACACAAGGTCGGCGCGTATTCGTCGCCAGTCGCTCGTACGGGCAGGACGTAATAGCGCCGGTCGCTCCGTGTTGAAACTATTATTTCGCCGTTTTACTCAAAATGCGATTGTTCTTTTCGAACAGTTAGCCAAGTTAGTCTGTACGATTGATCATTTGCGATTAGCGCGAGTCGGGACGACGGCCGCTCACCGAAATACAATAGAAACTGCGCGATTTATCCACTCGAGATACGAGAGAGTAAAGCGAATAAAATTCCATTAGCTATTGTCTCGCGTATCGCGGGCGACGATTACATCCTCGCGACGTTCGGATTTAATCGCGACATAAGTTTTTCGCCTATTAACATGTAATTTGGTTGCCATTTCCAGATTAACAAGGAGAAGTAAAGCGCGGAGCGTCGAGCCGAGTAATTTAAGCAGCGGGAAACTATGGAATTATATGAACTAATGCGAATCGGCCTCCAAGTCAAGTGACATCGCGACATTCGCGACGCTATTTAACCAGTGAGTGTGGTCGCGATTATAACCGCGTAACGTGGATTCGGCATCCGTTCGCGTCGACGATTATGATGCGCTGCCGTTCGTCTGTTCCGTTAATTTACGAGACGCTGTTACCGCTTGACGATTGTTACCGTCGCGAAATGTAACCTAGTGTGTGTCGCGTGCGATGACCGCCGGGAGTGCCGTGCCAAGTATCGCGCGATCGTAATTAACATGTTTTCGCGAGTGGCGTGTGAGTGCAACGAACCTTGAGAACCTGAGAGGAGGAGCAGGCCTCGGAGGCATCGGGCAACGGCGGAGCAACCACAGGGTGAGTGAATTATTATTCATTTATTGTTAGTTAGTCGCGGGATCAGAGCTTTTCGAAAATTGCATAATTACTTTGTCACTGCACTCGAAACATAAATAAAATCCAAAGTGCATTTCTCCCACATTAATTGCCGTTGAATATCACTATTTCAAATATTTTTCTCGCTGATTTCGATGTTTTTGTATCTTACAGATCGATGCAGATACGTTATAGCTCCGCTGCTGCGCATCGTGTCTGTGAGTAACGAATAACTTTTTATTTTAATTGGAACCAGTAGATCTATGTGAGATATATAAAGCGTGGGGATGTACGCGTAAAGTTAAGAACGTAGAAATATATATAAAATCTCATGGATCTATTACGTTTTCGGATGGATGGGCTCAAATTAATTAGTTGTAATATTTAATACTACAATTTTAACATGTAATATTTAACTCTGGATTTCACTGCGCGTATAATTTTCCACGACGATATATATGCAAAGTTATTAACTGTGCTTAATAAATACGTCATTTATTGACACATTGTCTCGTTATACGGAATGTACTAATTACGAGGTGCATAAATTGTTTGTAATTTATAAGAATTGACGAATATAAATAAAAAATACAATAAACTCAGTTGGAAATGGGAAACCATGTTAAAATAGTTTTTACAAACGTGAATTTGTTTTGAAATCTAACAAAGACATCTTCTTTTATACTTTTACCCGAGCACTTTTAAGCACAGATAATATCAGAAAATGATATTAGGAATATCATAAAAAATACAATGTATTGATCTTAATATAAAGTATATATTATAATTGGTTAAATTTTCAAGTTTCTTTTAGATAAATAGAAAGACTTTTTTTATAAAAATTCTCTAAATTTAAAAAATTTTTAGTAATTTTATTTAGTTTTTTTTTTAATAGTATCCATATCTTACAGACAATGGAAATCCACACAACATGTTTATTGTATCGAATTTGTATACAATAATAGATAAATTGTTTATATTTAAAGAAACATCGTAAAAATGTTTCATTAAGTTAATTAGTGGTTATAGATTTTATTTTATCTTTCTTTCCTTTTCGCAACTATTTTTTTTTAAATATAAGGTCTGCATTTGGCCTTTCGATATTTCAGAGTTAAATATTGTATAAACGAACGCGAAAGATTTTCTGATATGAAATATTCGGAGATTTATTTGATACTTTCTGATGCATATCATATATCACCAACATGAATCAAAGAGGTATTGGAAATATTTTACAATCTCATAACGTAGCTTGATTAATTTATTTAATTGAGGCATGTTTGTGGTTTATTAATTATATATATATATATATTTTTATAACGTGTCAATTATTGTTTTAATTTTTTATGGCCTGTCCATCCACGTGTTAGCAATTTATAGTATTCAGATGTATATTATTTAAAATGAAATAAGAACCAATATAAAGTATAAATGTTTCGTCGCAGAATAGAATTATGTTTTTATATATTATCTCTATGAGTCACGTTAATTAGTTCGTAGTTGTCAGATTTGCAACTAATTAACTAATTAACAGTCACTTCAGAATAGGCTATTAAAATATCGCGTGCTGTTATTCTAGGAAACTCTATGTATTAATAATTCATAGACGAGCATATATTTCTGTACATATAATCACTTAACATTTATTACAATTAAAAGTTTATTCCTGTTTAAAATTTTATTGAATCGCGTAATAATATTTAACACACAATGAAAATTTTTAATGATTAATAACTACGGAAACAAAAGTTACATTTTATTTGCCGTCCAACAAATGCACGCAAGTAGACATTGGCGATATTTCGCATAAACATTCAATACGCTTTTCATCGATTTTCGATATATTAGTTTGTCGCGAAATGTGCGAATCATAATGATTATTTATTTCAAGTCCGAACAATATTATATTTAATGCAGGTATTTTCTTCGCATTATCTAATTAACTTTTTGACACTCGCTTTTGCTAGCGTTCACAGTCTATGGTTTACAAGCCGGCGAGTCAAATTAGTAATTATATGGTTCGCATATGCTCGCAATTGATTTTGATTCACGGGAGGGATTAAAGCACTCTGAATTAAGCACGCGTTAAAATTAATTTGTTTCTTCGTACTCGCGAGTTGCGCGGACTTCTCGACCGCAAATTGCGATAAATCGCGAGTTAACGCGGAACGCGTAAGCAAGCCTGTAATGCCGGCAATAATTTGCGAAGTGTCAACGGTAAAATCACTTAGGAGTTTAAATGAGAAATAGGTAACGTTTGGCGAAGCGTGCGAATGACCCTGTTGCCAGTTTATGCACATTACTAAGCAGACGATGTCCAGAACAGGAATTGGTTTACCCAATATGTAGATTATTACAGCGTCAGTGCGCCGTAAGCGAAAACGTTTCCGGTAATCGTAATGTTATGATCACGAGAATCACCGGTTGAATAATTCTGATAAACGTAACATTGCATTAGTACTAAAAAAGTTAGCGATATCAGCCGTAACATTTACGGTATCTTTGCAGGCCAGTGCCCGATATGAAGTAAAATCGGAATTTTAACATATATCGATGAAACATAGAATAATTTATATCGATAGTGTTATCGGTATACAGATTATTTATATCGATAAAATATAGAATTAAAGAATTAGATAGATAATACATTATAATGTAGGTATTAATATATTGTGATCAAATGTAGTCATTCTGTCACACAAAATCGTAACGTTTTCATCGATAAATGTGTTGCATAACGAGTCTGATAACCCTAAAAAGGCTAAAAGAGGTCGAAGATAAGAGATTTTTATACGCGCAAAATGTTCGTCGCGTTACAATTTATTGAACAGAATTGAATAATCAAACGATAATGAAAAACTTTCATTTACTCATTAATTATAAAATTTACTTTAAAAGTACTCGCCATTTCACGGTTTGTTTTAAATACTTAATATTATCTGTAATTATAATTTGCAGAGAATAGCTAGGAAATTTATGATCCATATTTTTCAACGTGCATGTATAAAAACATGCTCTTTTATTGTAATCAAAGAAGAAATGCAAATTACATTAGAGTATTTTATACGTGTGTGGAGAAGTTTTTACATTTACTTACTAATTTACCGCGAAATCCTGAGTCGAGTAACGGAAGTAATCACATTATCACAGAGGTTCAAAATTGTGGAAAGGCGGATGTTTCGTGATGTCGCATTCCGCGTCCGGTAAACGCTGACAAGTGGGTAAAGGTGGTACCTCGCAAACGCATTTAACGCACACAGAATTGTAATCTGTAGCTTGGTTCAATTCGTCGCCGCGGTGCATGGTCATATTGCCGAAGTGACAAACGTCCTCGTCTAAAAAGAACAAATTTCGATGAAACACCTGCTTTACGTGATAACATTAATTGTAACACGTAACCCTTGGAGTATTTTATTATCGCATAAATCTATAACTATCCAACACCGAAGCATCAAAGGGGAATTTAAAACAATAGATGAATCAATAAAATAAAATTGTTCTTCACGAACGAACATCAAACGCGCTACGGGTGTGACGTGCCAACTGACACGCCTATAACATAATTTCCTATACTGGGATAACGATGACCAAATTAATTATCATTTTATAGGATTGCGACAGAAATTGATTCGCGCGTCGCTTCTCGTGTGCAACATTTTCTCGCAATTAACTCTCATTTCATGCTATTCAAAGCACAGTCGTAATTAGCATCGCTTGAATGTCCAAATGCGTGTCGATGCATCATTTATATTTCAATTTAATAAACGAAAATTGTGTAAAATATATCTTTACATTTTTTTGTCAGTCGGTAATTAATAAAAGTGATAAAAGACCAAGTCAAATTCTCAATGTACTGAGTATCTCAGATTGTTCGAACATCATTACATGTCTATAATTTTAAATAGGAAACGTACCATCGGGATTTTTGTCGGCGGACTTTGAACTGTCTTCGTTGTGAATAACAGTGTCGTTGTTGTTTTCTAAAAAGAATCGGATAATCGTGATTGCTTTACTATACACGGCATACATGTGCGCGAAAATCGCAACTCGTGAACTTACGGCATCTCACAAATACACTGCAACTAGTCTGCGGCGATTGACCGGAATAATAAACTGGAGCGCAATTGTTAACAATGCTGCTTGGATTCTTAAAATCGGGACTGCAATAAGGACGCTTAGGCTTCGCGCAGAAAGGCTCGACGTTTTGTCCTAAAATCGTAAATTTTTTTCACCGAGGACGCAAATACAAATTATATAGATTTAAATTGGAAATTTATATTATAGAATTGTTACTGCACACATATTATTGAAATGTAGATAAACGTGAATTTAATCTTAATTATTATTATGACAAATATATATATAATTATGATATACAACAAGTGTTGAATTATTTAATTTACTGGCTTATTTACCGATAAACAAACCAGTAAATAATCATTCAATAATTATTCATCAATATATTTCATCGATATAAGTTTCCATAATGCATTAATTTCATTGAAAATTGACAATTTGTTTATATTTGTCATAAAGATTTCATGCGCTGTATATGAAAATATAAGCTCCATTACGTATTGATAATAGTATTGGACTTACTCATTAGGATGTATTTTATGGACATGTTGTGCCAAAGCTTCTAGCACTGAGAAATTTAAAATAACGCGCTTAAGATTATCTTTACCTTCATAGCCCGGTTGGCATACGCAGTTTAAATCCGGTTCATTTTCGACACTAAAGTATTCTCCTTCTTTATATTCCTTTCCGTCTACATTACAAACAGCTCTGTCTTCGGGATTTTCAGCTACAAAATGTATATGACTTTATTTAAATATTGTGCATATATTTTACGATAGAAGTGTCTTTTTCATCGGCAGGTAGATTACTATTGTTAAACATGAAATTTAATAATACTGAAGCAACTTTATTCTGGCTTTCTGGCTGAGAGAGTTCGATAAATATATTGGCTAAAAAGCGCATGTCGCACAAAATGTACAAAATTAGTAAAAATTTATATTTTTAATTAGAATTATTCTCTCGTCGAGAGAGAGAAAGAACATAATTGAGATATAACGACGCGAATTTTCTACGTATAACATTTAGGTGAATGTATTATTCATAAAAAGGAGAATTATCAATTTATCGTGAATGTATGTGAAACATTTAGAACTCTTAATTAGATATTTTGTGCTTACGGCAAACGTCCTTTCCGGGACAACAAAGTAATGGGGAATTCTGCCTATAGCAACCTGGAGGTACTGGTCCTTGGAAACAGTCGACTATCGCGCAATTAAAGCTGGCGCTACATTGAAAGCAATTACGTAATTTTAATGAACAGAATTTACTAATTAAAAGGAGACAACAGTTTGAAAAATTGACACCAAGGTGTTTACTTACATTCCATCGTATCCTTGGTGACAGGTGCATCCTATGTCACAAGGATTCGCGTCCTCATCTTTGAGTTTCTCTCCGATCTCGTACACTTTACCATTGACATAACACTTGAGAGTGGATCTCCCCTTCAGGTGATCACAATTGTATTTTGTAGCGCAACAATCGCCCTCTTTTTCATAAACCGGGGTACAACCGAGAGCCTCGTAATACCCCAATGGACCCGGGCATTTCGTTTTATCGCATTCCTCTTTACAAAAATAAAAGATCAGAAGAACGTAGTACGATATATTGCTATAAAAATGGATGTCTAGTTGAATAAAGGAGTCGTTCTGAGTGCTTAGAGTCGCGTCGTTATTCGTGTAACGGAATTTTGAGCGAGCCATAGAATTATTCACGAAGCGAACATGTCAAAGACCGTATAATTACCGAATGAATTAAAAAGGATCTCTAAAAAATGTTGTTGCTCGTTATTTTCTAAATTTTGTTACAATTAGTAAGACAAGTTTTTGACAGATTAGCTAATACAGTGATTATATCAAGTATGCTGTAAAGCATTTATTGTTGCACAAAAATCTTCCGGCGTTGTAATAAATGTGTATTATAAGTGCATCAGTAAGAATATTTAGCAATTACTTAGACCTAATCTAACCAAATCTAACCCGAATTAAAACATTCAGTAACTCCAACACTCGCATATTCTTTCCGCGACTTTATTATTAGCTGGCACTGCAACTCGAGGTCACGTTGGATTATTGGATCGAAAGTAATTTGGCCATTGCCTTCCGATAGAATTACAGATGAAATCAATATTTGAATAACTCTTTTTTACAACAATTTATCACACCTTTCCCGGGCGAGCGTTATCTTCTCCGTTTGCGACTCACCTTGATCACCCGCAACTGCGACGGTGATGAACGCCAGATAGGCGCATATCTGAATGAGAGAACGAGAGCCACGACGTGTCATGTTCGCGCAATGTGAAAACCTGCGCGACTTGCGTACGCGCCGCGTCATTTATACCTCGATCGGTGACCACGGTCTGGAAGTGGGTAAAAGACGGTGAATATAAATGACGCAGACGCAGAGTATAGAAAGAGGGGAAATAGTACGTACGTGTATGCGAGAGCGAATTGAAACGCACGCGAGAAAGGGAGTTGGAGAATATCGAAGAGGCGGAACAGAGAGGAGTAGACGTACTGGAGGAGAATGAAAATGAGTATGAGGGAGAGAGTCGTGAGCTCGCGTAAAGACGAAGAAAAATCTGTTGAGCGATATGAGAATGAGGGAAATACAAAGACGAGCAAGGAGGAAACGCGAATTGGAGAGAATAATTTGCTTTATCAGTCATCGCGCGTTGCGTACCCATTTATGTAAATTGCGTAACTATCATTGTGTTGAAACAAATTGTCTCTCTCGCCTTGAATCACCGTCTTGAATTTCTGTTCAATGTCTCGTATTTTGTCAAATTTTCCGATATTAACAATATTTTTTGTTGTGTAATTACTAGTTTCACTTGGCGTGTAATTACCAATTTTATTTATTTGTATATCTTCACTGATACAAAAACGCAGGAAAAGAAACTTAAAATTCGTAACCGTACAGCTGTTACCGTACAGCTTTTTTTTATACAAAAGTCCTTTTTAAGTATAACATCAATCAGATAATGGACATTAATAATTAATATTATAGTTTTATCCTTGTACATATCAGTTTTTATTATAATGAAATATTCTTACAAATATTCGAGTAAAATCTTTATAGGTTTTGCGTATCGCGTAACAAAAATACCTAATTATTAACTTGGAGAAGGTGGATCGCCAGTGAGTGAAGAAAAATATAACAAAAGATGATGATGTCGACAATAACTGGCACATATGTTTATTTAAAACACTACGTTTCGACTAGTAATACTAATCCTTATCAAGTAATAGCCCATTAAATGTGGCAGCAAGAAATAGGTGACATATTGAGCGTACGTTTTATAAAGAAAAAGGCGCAGTAAATTAATATGCACATGTTACTTCCAATTGAAATTAATGTAAGTCACTAAGAACGTCTATTCGTATAAAAGGCTTGTGGAAGACAGTCTTCCCATATGTGCCAAACATATGTGCCAGTTATTGTCGACATCATCATCTTTTGTTATACCTAATTATTAATATCTTACAACATTTATTCATAACAATTAAGAGAATGTAGCGGGATTTATGATATCATAAGTTATGCAATCAGTGAAATGATTTGTAAATGGTTTGAGTCTGTCGTCAATCCACATTTTTAGATCACCAAATAGACATGGAACTTTCTCTGAACTGAATCATAATTTTATGGATTATTACGATCCTTAATAGCGCGTTAATTATTCTAACACACTTTTCTGCATTTAGTAAATTGGTTGTGCGATAAAGTGAGTTACATTTTGTAATTAGTTATCGTTTTATAGGATCATAATATTAACGTGCTACAGAAATTGATTTTCCGCAGTGCTCGTTATCCATATGCAATGTTTGTCGCAATTACCTCCTATTTGACGCGATTCACAGTACGGTTGTGTAATTAGTATCGCTTGATCGTTTAAACGCGTGTCAATACCTCATTTTATATACCTCACACTATATCCATATGATTATCGAATCGATTTGTCGTAAAGTAATAAATATTACCCTAGATATCGCGATTCATAAAATTAAAGACAAAATAAGCGAATAACATAAAACAAGAAATTAGTTTCTCCAGTCAAAACAATTTAACAAGAAATTAGTTTCTTCAGTCAAGCAAGTATTAATTTTATTTTTCATTCAACATCTGTGTGTAATATTTCAATTTTAGTTATTGTGATTCAGGCACGTAATCTAATTGCATTATTATTTATACAATTTTCTGTCTCCACAAAATTTTAACAGATCTGTAGTCAGTAACCATCTGTTGCAAACACATTGGAATACTCAATATCGATATATTCAGTTACAGTAAAATTTGCACACGTTAAAAGAATTTAATAATTTATTTTTATATTATCTACGTATCTATGATTTAATTATCATCGATGCGCTGAATTTAACATTTTGATTTAATATAAAATACTTTATATTATATCGCAGTTTCTCTAGACTTTGCATCATGAAATAATTGTCCGCAAACGAGAAATTTTGAAAATCTACGTAGTAAATAAGTAGCAGGAAATTATTTGATAATTAGAAGTCTGTCAAGTAACCATTGAAAATAAAGACATATCGCGCTAAGAATTTTACGCTAATATGTAAGGAAATATGAACAAATTCCTTACAATATGTGAATTATGTTCGCATATCTGTCACATGTGTTACCATGACAGAATAATCCCGAACTGTCGACGCGTACGAGAAAACGTGATGTAATTTGAATAATGTGACGCCGTACATGAATCTTTCATAATATCGAAAGAAAATGCACCCATATATGCACACACACTGAACGATTGTATTAAATATTCATGATTGCCGCGCTATTCGCAGAAAAATGAAAGATCTTTTCCGTAAAATTATGCATAACAGCAAATTAAGTTGGCAGCATATTTTCACGTTTTCATTACTTGAAGTTACACTTTGCATAGCATAAAAATAACATTTTTCAATGTAGTAAATAAAATAATTTAAACGTTCAACTAATTTTTTAATATCTTTTAAAAAATGTCTGTCTTATTATTCTCTCTTTTTATAATCGGATTATTATTTAGTTTGCTGTTTTCACCACCAAGAAAACTCATGTATTAAGTGAATATTACTCGTGCTTATTATACATCTAGATCTAAACATGGTGTTTAAATGGGATGATGGTATAGAGATATTTATTAACATCAATTAATAATTCGCGTTATCAATTAATAATCGATTACTCTATGTTTACAAAACAAACCAAGTCGGCGCATAGTTTAAAGTCGAAAACAGGCGCGAAAAATATTATCGTTATATTGTTTATTGCGATGAATATTGCTACACGCTTTGGTAGTCGAATTGGTTCAAACGCTTGTGGCAGTTTTAGAGAGGTATAGATTCAAATCCTGGCCGAAAGATAATATTTTTGCAATAAGTTCTTTGAATTAAATTTATATAGCCAGTTGTCTTACAATATTATTTGTTTAAATAAATATCTCGTGCAATTTTTTTACATATATTAGAATATTACAAAGTGCGGGCAAATATATATGTATATTCTATTAATTATGAAAATTAATGTACCCCCAGTTTGTGTTGAAATAACTAAACTTATTTATATTCGAGTCATATTTACGTTTCATCATCATATGTGAGCTTGCAGGTGCATACATTATTGCAAACATTTGTCTTTCTGGTTAAGAACTTAGTTTGAGCTAGTACTCGTGAACGTTGATGTAACATTTGTTTCTAGATTTCTTGTTCATATGATCACAGCCTTATCGCGCAACTCGTCGTGCAACAACGTACAACCGAGTTCGTGTAATACAGCAACAGACCTGGGCAGTTTGTTTCAACGTCATCGCGAAAAAGAAAATATCAAAAAGTTCGGTAAAAATTACATTATCGTTTTAAACGAGTGCAATTGGCCTCGCTAATGACGAAAATTACAACGATTTTAAATCTGTCCACGTAATGTCTGATTAGTTTTAAATAGGATTGATATATTCTAGGAATAGTTAAAATGACTCAAGTGACTGAAAAATAAGATATTGGTTTTTGACATAAAAGCAGTTGAAAGATACCTTGATCTCTCAGGCATTACCCTGCATGATCCGTGAGATCTGTAGTTTCAAAATCTTTCATTTAGCACAACTGCGCGTTAAATATTCAGTTGCAACAAAATTCTTGCATCAGTTATTACAGTATAATGCATCGTCCATGAAGAATTAATTAACTTCGGTGCTAACTTAATTACCCCGACGTTTTTGTAGCCAAATTCTCTTCAAAATTATTCGCTCGCAAATAATACTCGAAGTAATAGCCGGAAGTTTTTTCTGCACGTTGCTCAAATAAGAGACTAAATCCTACATATGCTATGATATAATTATGCTATAATTTTTTCATATACATATTTGAAAATTTTTAATTTTTATGTTAAGATAATTATGTTAAAGATAATTATATACATATTATAATTGCATTTCTTTTACATCAAAATCAACTTTAAGATTTCAATTGTAGCTTTGAAAAGTTGTAACGCTTGTTTTCTATGTTAACAGAATTTCCGCGAACTTGCAATAACAAGTCAATATTTTACAGAAGCTTATCAACGTGTGGATTATTCCTTTATACATATATCATCGCCTATAAATCTCGCGCAAAAGACATTGTTGTTATCAGTTAATTTACGATGAAGAATCAATAAATCGATATTATATAGCTGGACAGGTTTGAGTGTATATACGTGCAGGAAGTTCGTACGTGGTACATTTACATTTAGATAATTACATATAGATAATTATAAATGCAATAATAATTGCGAGGCACAACTGCGAAAGAGATATTATTAGTTGTCAAGGCTGACCACACAATGTAAGACGCATTTATCGCGGTTATGCAAAATAATTGTTCTACGACGTACTTTCGGATAAGCTGTACTTTAATATGCGATAGCTAGGAACTGTTAGCGCGTTCTTAAATTGTTGCAAGTCGAAGGACATTTCCTGACAAAGCAATACGTATCTCTTGTATAAAATAAATATCATTACGAAAATTTCTACAAATTTCATAGGTATGTACTTGTACTTATGCATTGTCGTTTACATTTATTTATTAATTTTATTGTTTCTATTTTATTGTTACATTCGTTCATTTGAAATACTTAGTCTTAAAAACTCAAACCCTTTAATCGTAAATTTACATTTTAATCGATTTTTTAGTTTGCTGAATGTAATCTTATTTACTTAGAAAAAGAAAGAAAAAGTTCATTTCGATACATACGACAAAGCATGTTTCTTAAACAAAGGGAAAAAGTTTTTAACTCGACCAGACTGGCCAAAAAATGATCTTTATTTAAATCACAACGTCTCGACCTCTTTATTGA